AAAAAAATCAAAATGGTTTATTTGGTTAAAAACAAGCCTTATTTTAAATTAATTATAGTTCTTTTGATAAATAGACGCTAAATTTTCCTAATTGTTATTCATCTGAACTACTACTTCCATGTTTAAGAAACTCTGATAATCGTACAGGTGTATCTCCACGATGTTCCTCCTCTTTAATCTTATGCTTATGTTTCTTAAAAATAATATGAATTAGATCAGAATACAACGAATATACGAATATTATAAAATTATCAAACCTTATGCGAATGACTGTGATGATGTTTTTTATGGTGATCATCGCGTCCTTTATGATCAGAATCTGATGAGGAACGTTCCTCTGAACTCCTATACCTACGTTTCGTTGATTTATGATGCTTTTCCTTACTATGATGTTTGTCCTATTTAATAAATGAAATTAAATTCTTTTAAAATGGATTTAACAATTCGTAAATAATACTATAGCCAATTTTAATCCATTCTAATGAACTAGAAGATTTAATGTGTAAATAGGAAATTTAATATAATAAAGCGAACCTTCAATTCACGATCGATATTTATACGTTCTTTAGTCATATCATCACTTTTGTCACTCCTATCTCTACTTTTACTACGACTTCTACTACGACTCCTTGATACACTTTTTCTTCTATGTTCACGGCGACTATGTTTCTTTTTCTTTTTGTTGGTGGATGAAGCATATTTCAATTTTGCTTCTCTTTCTTCGTCCAATTTTTTGCGATATTTGATAAGTTCAAAATCGGAAACTTCAGGACCCTTACTTTCTGATCTGATTTTGCGAAATTCGTCCCTCAAAGATGAGCAAACAATACGGGAAATAGTGAGAACAAAAATGAGGAGTAGAAATCTAAAAGCATTTAAAGAAATTATACAAACACCGCATTACCATGTCATTCCACCTTTTTTACGAGCTTCAATATAGTCTCTAATCGTTCCACCTCGTTCAGAATTTGCCATTTGCTAAATCAATATGGCTTTAAATCGTGAAATATGCAAGAAGCAAGGAATCTAGATATTAATTGTTTTATACTAAATTATTTGAGTTTGAACGCGAAATCTTTTATATTATTAAAAATATGCTTCTCCTTAAGCAGGGTGATCGCATGTGTGCTTTTTGGCCAATAAAATATGTATTAAATCTTGTAATGTGATAGATACACTACTGTGAGGTTAGTGATATAAAGTGGTAGGTAGTGTAACCATTCGATTCTGACCACGGGATCATGAGTAGGTTGGTTTAGGTTCGGTTTTGGTTTCAAAACCTTCAGGCTTCATTTTGTAAGTTCAATAATTTTAAGGATTATATAATTATGTATTTAACCCATCTGTCTTAGCCCAAAACCATTTTTTTTTTT